AATCCTATTTAGAGTGCATGCTGCATCAGGGTATCTGAAAACTATAGCCTCTTTCCCTTTGCCTTGTTTACATCCAGCCAGACCAGTACAAACCTGTTCCTGAGCCACTCCTTGAAGGAGAGCTTCTGGAAAAAAAAGGGAGAAAAAAATCCTGAATTTGTTTAAATAGGATTATATAACTGATGTACTTGTGAAGGAACCAGCCCAACCTAACCCAAGAGAGCTCTTTTAGGGAAGAATTTACAAGGAGTTTGAGAAAGGTATATACCTTTTTCAAAAACACTTGAAATAACTGTGATAAATCTAATGTAGATTTCAGACCAGATTCTCTGCTCATACAATATGAAGACAGGCTCTGACCTTCTAAAGCTCATATTACAAAAGGGTTCTAAGACATGATCTTATATTTTTATTTATTTATTTAAGAACCACCCATCTCCCTCACAGAGTGGCGGACAATAAAATATTAAAAGCGTTAAAAACAGTGTGTAAAAATTAAAAGAGAAAAGGAATATTAAAAAATTGATTAAGAGAGGGCTGAGGACTTTCAGGGTACTAGCCAGCCCCATGGCTGTATGCTCGTCTGCACATCCCAAGCAAGGGTGCAGAACCACGTTTGAACCCCCTTTTGGAAAATCAAGAGAATGGGGGTCCGCTCACTTCTGGGGGAGAGTGTTCCACAGGGTGTGTGTGGGGGAACAGCAGAGAAAACTCCCTTCCTGGACCCTGCCAATCAGAATTCTTTGGATGACATGCCTTTCCTACCTGATTGAGGGAATGGACCAATGTAATGGGATGACTATGGTCTGGTAGATAACCTGGTCCCATGTCATGTAAGGTTTTAAAGGTCACAACCAACACTTTCAATTTGATCCAGAAGTAGGCAGGCACCCAATGCAGCTTGCACAATAGAGGTGTTAAATGTTTGGGTGGCTAAGATTGCACGTGCAGCCTCATTTTGTACCAGCTGAAGTTTCTGGATATTTTTCTAGAGTAGCCCCTTGTCGAGAGCATTGCAATAGTCCAGCTAGGAAATGACCAGGACATGAGTGACTGAGCAATGAGCCTCCTATGCATGAAAGGGTATAATGATGCAAAGTTGAACAAAGGCCTCCTAGCCATGATAGCCATCTGCTCTTTAGCAGGTGAGTCTAGCAGACCTCCTGATTACCCATTGGGTCTGTCTGGGGTAGAGCAACCCTATTCAAGACCAAAGGATTAAACTCCCATATGCAGAGGAGATGCATATTGTTTGCCTATTTTACTACTGTCTATCTCCTATCTGTTGGCAACTTTCTCAGCATCTCAGAAAGAGGAGATTCCCATTCTGTGCTGTCAGACTATTTCAGCTGAAGAATCTGAAGATCAGGTCTGGTCAGAAAATGATTCCCTATGTTCTCTGCCCTTCAGTGAGGATTCCAGATGGGGAGATAATTCTGCACATCTAAAGATAAATTGAAAAAAGAAAACACAGAAAAATATTCTCAAGTACTAAAAATAGACTGGGTTCACATATTGTATGAATTTATTTACTCATATTTATCTGATTTATTCTCCAGCTTTCCAACTACAGCACACTCAAAGCAGTTAACAGTTAAAGAAATATTTAAACAAAACAGCTAAAATAAGAGATTTGGATTTAAAAAGCCAAGAAAGACGTTTCAACCTAAACATGGGCATTCACTTTGTATGTGTCTGCAACACCTTAAAGCAGCTATATATTTTTTCCCAGGATTATGCAGTTGCAAGCCAGTCCTAGAAGAAGATGCATTTGGTTTAAGGAACGGCACTCAGAAGCTATGCATTTACTTTTATGTGTTCTGAAGCATCTTTTAGCTTTCAAATACAAGGGCCTCTGCAGCCTTAGTTAACATCACAGTTAAACTAGATCAGGCCAGAAGGACTTAGCAAAGCCATAGTTTATTTAATTGCTGTTTACTAAATAAATCCTAGAAAGCTGGTTTTGCACAATCCACTAAGCCAATTATAGCATAGAATGATAAATGACCTCAGCCACATTTGCACAACTCCCATCTTTTTTTTTTCTCTGTCTCTCCTTAAATCCACTTTTCACTTTCATTGAAACCAGGGGTCTTCAAACCTGGCCCTTTTATGACTTGTGGACTTCAATTCCCAGAATTCCTCAGCCAGGCATGCTGGCTGAGGAATTCTGGGAGTTGAAGTCCACAAGTCATAAAAGGGCCAGGTTTGAAGACCCCTGGTTTAAACTATTGATGCTTTAAAGAAAGAATAGGCACGTCTTTCCTTGAATGCACTGTGGAGCAAGAAGATGGCCACAGGAAATGGCAGCTGCCAAGAGGAAGAAGAGTCATCCTACCCTTGCCCCCCCCCCAAAAAAAAAAACTTGTTTAAAACAATAAATGGAGTGGGATGAATAAGGCAGTTTCCACAGAAGAGGTGGATATTGCCTTGGACTAATAAAAAGCTAAAAATGTGTGTTGCCCTGAAAATGCAGCAGGAATCGTGCAGGGTGGGGACAACGGCACTTATACAAAATGTAGCCTAGGGAGAAGAACTATGAACCAGGAGATGCTGAGACTGACGTCCTGTCTGCTTAATTTCATTTGGCAGGTGACTAAGAGGGAACATACAACCTACAAGCATGAATCATGTGGATTTCAGCTTAAGTCAGCTCAAAATAGCATGATGTTTGGCTCAGTTTTTAACTTGGTCTACCCGTAAATTGGGTCCTCTCCAGATGCAAACTTCCAGAAGTGACATAGAATGGAAGGAAATATTGCAAAATCACCCGCAAAGTATACCAACATTTTATTTAAAAATATTCCTTAAAATTGAGGTCCCGTGTGCTACTTACTTTCCCCTAAGGAGCTGAAGGCAATGCCAGGGGAGCCCTTCAATGTGTCCGTCTGAAAATTGGGTAAAGTAAATTTGGATGAGGAATGGCAACTAAGCCCAAGGTTGGCAGGGACTTGGCAGAAGCTTGAACTCAGAATTCTTGGATTCATTCAAAACAGATTTGTTCAATCTTTCTGATCTTTTCGTAACTGGACCGTCTGTTAGTAATGGCTTCTTTAAATCTGTGTAAGCTGGCATCAGTGATGTTATCTAGCTGTGACTTCGGTCAGCCTGTTTCTCACTTTCCTTTGATTTTGCTAAACATCAAAGACTTCCACAATGACTCTTGCCTTCACATTATGCGTCCAAAGGACCTACCCTTTGCTGGTAACATTCCAGGGATCAGTCAAATCTAACTTTTTTTTAGCACTAAAAGATTTTTTTTTGAGCTCCAGGATATTCTTAACCATTCTTCCTAGCTTCACAATTCAAAGGCATCAACTTTTCTTTATTCAATTTTTTATTCTTTCAGCCTTTCAGAGGATCCCCCTTTCACAACTGGAAAAACCATGCCATGATGCCTCTGCAGTTTCACATTGTGTGTGGACTTGCAACAATCTTTTTGCCAAGCAGCATTCATCTCTTCCTGCCTTGGCTTCAGTCAACACATTCTCCTTCTATTCAATCGGACCATATATTTCAAATAATCTGCATTAATCCTCCTATACTGTATTTTTTTTTATTGTAGGCAATAAGTACATTGGAAATAAAAATCCATTGGAAATTTTAGCATTATTGAAAATGAAAGCAGATTCATCTTAACCAATTAATTCCCTTTTATTGGTGGGAAGCCACGTTTATGATGTACAGCTAGTCCTCAACAATTGAAGTGATTCACTTAACAACTCTGGCAAGAAAGGTCATAAAATGGGACAAAATTCACTTAGCAACTGTCTCACTTAGCAACAGAAATGTTGAGCTCAATTGCGGTCATAAGTCTACCTATACTCAATATTTAACCATCAGAGAGGCATGGTAAAAATCCTCTTATCTATGCTTGTTATTTTCTTAGGGAAAAGGGATTCCCAACAACTTAAGCTTCACAAAAGACTAGACCAGTGATGGCAAACCTTTTAGAAACCGAGTGCCCCAAAACTGGCCCCGCCCCTCTCCATACCCTGCCCCTGCCCCACCCCCTACCCCGCCCCTGCCCTGCCCCATCCTGCTTGCCTGCAGGGCCACTCACCACCTCCAGGGCCCACCACAGATTGCCCAGGCAGCCCAGCAGCACCATGGAGGCCACGCCCTCTGCCCACACCCTGCAGCATCAACTGTGCGCATTGGGGCGTGAGGGCAGAGTCTTGTCTATGCTGCCTGGCTACTATGTCCTTGGCTGCGCTGCTCCACGTGGACCACGCTTGGGGCGACTCTCTTCCAAGGAGGCTGCTGGTGAGGAGGGGGTCATGGACGGAGGCAAGGCATGTGTGCCCACAGAGAGGGCTCCAAGTGCCATATGTTCGCCACCTCTGGACTAGATTTAACATGAACCAGGCAAAAGGATGGGACACTCAGCAAAGGAGCTTAAGTTACTTGATAACCTGAGAGATACTGAGGGCACGTTGTTCTTGATTGACTGTATATGGCTTGGAAAACATAGGGACTATTGTTAGCAAGTTAATTTACAGAAATTTTAGTAACATCCATAATTAAATCTGTGAAAGCTGAATTTATAAGTACCATCTTAGTGACACAAGAACTGCAGGTAAAAGTTGTACAACAGGCAATATTCTACCATTTACCTACTCTGTAGGTAAATAAATAAAACATGATACTTCCCAATTTTTCCTTGTAGAAGTCACAGAAGTTTTAGCAACAGCCTGTATAAGGATGGCTTTTCCATTATAAAAGCCTCACCAATGAAAAGGCTTGGGCTCGTATGAAAACCCTATGTTGAGAAAGATTTCTGACTGAAAGCAACCATTGAACCACAATATATTATCAGGTCAGCTCTAAGGTTATGCATAAGGAGACATAGGAATAATGAAAAGGTGCCCAGCAATTCACTGTATTATTGATGTGTTTTTTTCTACCATATAAAAATGCCAGCTTCAGACCCCAGAATCATGCCTTGGATAATAGGTGATTGGACTGGAGTGCATCTGTCTGTGTTAAGGAATGCTTACCTTTCACTCTGTTCCTCGGGCACCGAGTGCATTTTGCTGCTTCTGATTATGAGATCCCACTTTCCTTGTAACCTGTCCATTTGTGAATATGAGTGGCAGAGGACAGCCTTCCTCTCTGCTGATTCCACTGAAGAAGGAAGAGGAAGCATGAAACATCCACTTACTATGGCATCCACTGTTTAAACATGCCATTCTCTAGGAGAATAACATCCGCTGAGAGTAAAACAATTGCATTTAATATAAAAAGAGAATGTATGAGACATAACAGAAGTAGAGACTTTGGCAGAATTTCTTTAGTAAATATTGAGTGCTTGCCAAAAGCAATGTTTAGAAGTGGCTTCTTATAATCCCTGACAGAAAGATAGCAAGTTAATAAAATAATCCTCACTTATAGGATAAATATTGTCTTGGGGGGAAAATGAGCAGCCTTCCATGTCTCGTGTCACATCCTGAAAGTGGTAGGGCAGTGTAGGGCAATGAATGCTGCCAGACACCAACTGGCAGAGACCGTCTGGGCACCAAGACTAATACATGCCACCCTGTCTGAAAGGATTTTGATTTCTCCAAAAGTGATGCAGTGATATTTTGTATGTGAACTCTATTGGCATGAAAGGAAAGATAACAATTACCTTTTCGCACAATTCTTTTGTATCTATTTGCTAGCGTTTTTGTCACATTATTAACAACAGCAACAACTTCATACTATTAAGAAACCAGTAGGGTCTTCTTTGTGGGAACCGATCCCAGACGACTGATTCCCTCATGTTAGAGAACCTGTCACAATGCTATCCAAAGACAAGAGGAGGGATCCAGCTGGATTTCAACCAATCCGAAGATAAAAAATATACATATGTAGGCTGATTAAAATGAGCAAATAACTTTTTTTTAAGAGAGTACTGGGATAGCTATTTCTAACCTTATTTGGTTTCATCAGCCAGACATACCCTTCTGAGATTCGAACCTGGGCTGTCTGCATGTTAAGCAGAGATGTTAGCCACTAGGCCACAGGCTCTTTCTCACTTTGTTAGCTACAAGAGACAGGGGAAGAGGATGAATGCTTTTGTTTGAACACCCTGTCGGCCCAAATATGNTAGGAATAATGAAAAGGTGCCCAGCAATTCACTGTATTATTGATGTGTTTTTTTCTACCATATAAAAATGCCAGCTTCAGACCCCAGAATCATGCCTTGGATAATAGGTGATTGGACTGGAGTGCATCTGTCTGTGTTAAGGAATGCTTACCTTTCACTCTGTTCCTCGGGCACCGAGTGCATTTTGCTGCTTCTGATTCTGAGATCCCACTTTCCTTGTAACCTGTCCATTTGTGAATATCAGTGGCAGAGGACAGCCTTCCTCTCTGCTGATTCCACTGAAGAAGGAAGAGGAAGCATGAAACATCCACTTACTATGGCATCCACTGTTTAAACATGCCATTCTCTAGGAGAATAACATCCGCTGAGAGTAAAACAATTGCATTTAATATAAAAAGAGAATGTATGAGACATAACAGAAGTAGAGACTTTGGCAGAATTTCTTTAGTAAATATTGAGTGCTTGCCAAAAGCAATGTTTAGAAGTGGCTTCTTATAATCCCTGACAGAAAGATAGCAAGTTAATAAAATAATCCTCACTTATAGGATAAACATTGTCTTGGGGGGAAAATGAGCAGCCTTCCATGTCTTGTGTCACATCCTGAAAGTGGTAGGGCAGTGTAGGGCAATGAATGCTGCCAGACACCAACTGGCAGAGACCGTCTGGGCACCAAGACTAATACATGCCACCCTGTCTGAAAGGATTTTGATTTCTCCAAAAGTGATGCAGTGATATTTTGTATGTGAACTCTATTGGCATGAAAGGAAAGATAACAATTACCTTTTCGCACAATTCTTTTGTATCTATTTGCTAGCGTTTTTGTCACATTATTAACAACAGCAACAACTTCATACTATTAAGAAACCAGTAGGGTCTTCTTTGTGGGAACCGATCCCAGACGACTGATTCCCTCATGCTAGAGAACCTGTCACAATGCTATCCAAAGACAAGAGGAGGGATCCAGCTGGATTTCAACCAATCCGAAGATAAAAAATATACATACCGTATGTAGGCTGATTAAAATGAGCAAATAACTTTTTTTTAAGAGTGGTAGGATATTCGAGACATTTTGAAATGCTATTATTCATTGGTATATACTTTATATATATATATATCGGGAACCACAAACTGTGAGACCACCAGGAGGTTGTTAAAACCATAAAAGTTTTAATAAAATTTTAAAAACACCTAACTTTCGCCGGCTTCCTGCCAGCATCATCAGGGTGGTTAACAGTCGATGGGATGGCTACTTATAGGAGTGGTGCCAGCTGGCGATATGATAACTAGGAGCCGAATGCAGAAGGATCGGTTGGGCCCAATCACGAGGTCTAGGAGTCGGGTACAAAAGGCACCACTATTTTTACCATTATTACCAGTCATATATATATGAAACAACTCCTCTAGCCAGTGCTCCTTTTTTCACCTTAACTTTTCATTCACTTCCCCAAATAATGTGCCAACATTGTTAGAAGTAATTCTTTGAGGGTTATATCAGAAGACAATGAGTATGGCACTTGCCATGCAGTATTGCACAATGCAGGAAGAACTGCACTGCCAAGGAATTACAGATCAGTTCATAAGCTTTAAAATGTCAAATTTGGGAGTGGAATAACTAGCAGTCTGCTTGCTAATTTGCTAAGATTATCCAGGGGGATCATATTGCAGCTTCCCCAAATTGTGTATTTCCATCTGGAAGGTATTTATGGACAGGCATTCTTGGCAGTGGCACTGAAATTCTCTTCCCCCTCTTATATATCGGATTCCTATAACATTACTTAGAAACCTATGGAAGATCCATCTTTGCATTCAGGGCTTACATGCAGGAACAGAAGTTTATCCCATAAATAAGGTGACCAACCGTCCTCCTTTAGGGAGGACAGTCCTCCTTTTTTAAGTTCTCTCCTCCCTCGAAAAGTGTCCTCCTACATGTCCTCCTTTTTGATATTTGAAGACTAATTTGCAGGGCTTTTTTTCCCTCATAGAACGCTCAGAACGGCATTCCGGCACCTTTTTTTGATGGTTTTGTTTTCAACTTTTGCATGAGCTGTGCTACTCCCCCTATGGGCTTTCAAAAGCCAATAGGAATTGCTGCTGAGCGTGCCAAAACATCCGGCCGGCAAACTTTGCACATGTAAGTTGTCTGCAGCGAAGGCGAATTGGCAGGAACTTTACATCCCTCCCTGCTACCCAACTACACCATCTCCTATTTAGTCCCAAAGATACCTGGAGGAGACTGGAGTGGTGACGCCACGGTAACTTTCTCTTGATCTTCGGCCCTGCTAGGGCAATAATGGCTGTGGGCGCAAGAGGCAGGAGCAGCGGGGCTGCTGCAGGCAGGGGTGTGAGGGGCAGTGGTGGCCGCTGCCCCCCGTGCTGTGGGAGCCGCGGGGCCTGCTCTACACGGGGCTGTGCAGGGTGGGCGGTGGTGCTGGCGGGGCGGCTGCAGGCAGGGTGTGTAGACGGCGGGCTGCCCCCTGGAGCCAGAGCCGGCACAGCTGGTGCTTTGGGAGCCGCTCTACATGGTGGGGCAGCAGTGCTGGCAGGCGGCTGTGGGCAGGGGCGCAGCATGTAAGCATAATTAGAATATAAAATGTTATTGTTACAAATGTTTTTATTATGCATTTATCATATTATAGTGTATTCTGTATTATTGTTGCAATGAATAAAATGTTTCTTTTATTTATGATATTTTTTTCTTCAATTTATTTGTGTCCTCCCTTTCATTGTAAAAAAGTTGGTCACCTTACCATAAAGCCTTGGAAATATATCTGAGTTTTAGTGAATTTTGATGCATTTCCTCATAGGTTTCCAATTAATTCTGATCTGAAGGGTGATTTATTTATTCAACTATTTCTTCTGTGATTATTTTATCCATAATACTTTTTGTAAGGTTCAGGTGGCAGATTGAAAACTATTTTGTTATTTGAAACTAACATTATAGGCATTGAGTACTTGAGAATGGATTTTTCAGAGAAGACTGGGTCTCATTCCCCACCTCTCCCAGACTCTTGTGCCATCACCTTTTCAAAGTTTCAGTCTTATAGACTATTATTCCCTGTCGATTGGCCAGGGGTGATTTAGCTGTGATTGAGAATCTTCACTTAAGCATTCTACTGCTACTTGGTGTATGATATTATTAGAGAAGTGTTGGTTTTGGGTGGAAAGCAGACATCTAGCTCAAAATTTGAAACAATTTCCACCACCACAAAATGCCTTCCACCCTTCATGAGTTTTAAATTAGGAAAATAGAACTGGGAATTGAGTTTCCCACCCATCTCCTCCCTGGCCTGCTCTGCTTATGTGGATGGAGTAATGAGAAATAACTGCTTTTAATAATAATAAAAAATACTGTGGGAAATGTTGAGCATTAATCTTCCATGTTCAATCCAATTTGACAGATCTGAGAAAGGTCTTCAAAGTTATCAACTCACTTCTGATCATGTGAGATTTTTGGTTGTCAGTAAGCCATGAAGGGATGACAGTAAAATGCTGAGATCTCAGAATGAAATTTGGTTCCATTGTAGAAATATAAAGTTTTACATTTGTCTCAGTGCATTATGTAGCTAAGTAGCACACACAGTCATGAAACAAAATTTCCCCCATCAGCTGGAAAAAAAAAGAAAAGGATATAACAACCTTGGGAGCTTTGCTATGCTCTGAAACACTTGATCTAAAGTGCTGATTCATTCATTTCTCTCCTTCACTAGAATTTAGTGAATTTGAAAAAGTTAGTTCATTTGGTCATTTCCTTTCTTGCATCACAGATCAGACAAGGTCACTTCCTCAACCAGTCACTGATTAGACTTTATTTCTGCAACTTATGGATAATGATTACCTAAATAGTCAATCATTAGTACAGATTACTAACTGGAATATACAGAAACAGGGTTCAATTGAAACCAAGTCTATAAAAGAAATTATGGTAAGCCTCACTTCTGATGAACTAAAAGCCACCATGCAGACTGGAAAAGGTCATGTTGTAAACATTCTTAATGTGGGGAATTAATCCAGTTTCTGTAGCCCTAGAACAGACTGTTGG